GGGTCTGTAGAGCTCCCGAGCCAGCCTATCCTGGGTACTAGAGGTCTCTAAACTTCATTGATGATTTCTTACCACGTCATTGGGGACAGTGATCTTGAGGCTGGATAAGGATCAGCTCTTCCTAAGGGAGACTGCCGCATGATCCAGCAGCGAGATTGCTGGCTACTGCCATTGTTACTCTCTGCTCCTTGGATACTATTTCCTGACAAGGAGAGCCAGCCGGCAAACAAATTCGATACGTTTCTTGTCATGTCTGAAACTAAGCTAAGCTGCCCGGTAGCAACAAACTATAGTAAAGCCATGGGTCTCACTAATGACTCCCATGTTCTGCGACTGTCAGCCCAGAACCCCAGGCCCGTCAACAATCACAATCATGTTATCATTGTTGGCTAAAGGTTGAGTCTACCTGCGCGCGGACTTGTGCGCACATATGCAATAGCTGTGAGCAGGGCGGCATCTGCAAGCTGCTGCACCTAAATCCCTGTTTGGTCATAGAGTTTCGACATAGTGAGCTTCATGGTCGGCAGCGACATTGCCGGCAGTTTAGAGACGAGGTCTCAAGGCAAGTTCAAGGCTAACACGGCATGTCACGGCTTATTATCCAGGCATTAACCCTTGATGCCAGCAGGTCTGGATAGGCATGTACAGTATACCAGCAGCGTTGTCTTATCAAGCAACAAAGATGGTGATCCCGTGCGACACCACGTGAACAAAAGCTCGAGCACGCTTGCGCCTTACCCTCGCGTTAGCTGCTGGACCTTCTATCGGCCGGAGCAGTGTCCGCTTGGAGAGGGTGTCTTTGTACTTGGCATCGACCGACAGGTCATCATGTGGCTAGCGGTAGGGCCTTTTACATATCCTGATCTTAATATCTAGATCTCGTTTAGTTTGTGCTATGACCTCTGGAGTCAAGCAGTGGACAGTTTATCTCCCATCTTTTATCTTTCATTGCAAATGTTCTTTTACGCGCTGGACCGTCCCGCCGTCTTGTGAAAGAAGAAGTACGTGGTTGACTTTATGGTTGTCGTCCTCGACCACCTATAGTACACGAGCGTCTACATTTTCAAGGGTCACAGTGTCGATCGGCAAGCCAGCTCACTATAGCACCAGAGGATACGGTATCAAGGCAAACATTGGTCAGCTGTCTCAAGCGAGCAAAGGGCTCTCCATTTTGGATCAAGAGCAGCCTTAAAGCGAAACAGAACAAAACAAATCAATATTTCTATGGCTGGTCGAGCTGTCTGGGATCAGGGTCGTCTGCCGAGTGAAAATCCCGACTGGCGGTCTACTTGACGTTACCTTACAATCTCCATACATGTGGAGGAGCCCACGTTTACCTTCGGTAATTGACGAAACATCATGCTTTGTCTTTCAGAATCGGAGCATTTTCCACAAGTCTAGATGAGTTCTTGTAATTTGGAATGCTAGGCATACGGCCATGTTTGAGTAATCGGCAGGTCACCCTACCAGAACAGTCTCAAGTACATGCATACATACACACTCCATACATCCAACGGTTGTCAAGGACGAATTTGGGTTGCTGCAGCGGAGCCTATCTTTGATACCGAAGATTCTCGATTGCAGCAGACACAAATCGAGAACCCGACGTGCGCTGAATGGGTTGGGGGGTATGGGTTTAGGACTAACGTGCCGATTCAGGTTGGCGTCGTCCTTTGGCGAGGAGAACTTGATTCTCGTAGAAGGATACTTGCTGTGAGTGAGGCAGCCATAGAGCCACATATGTATTGCCGTAGCAAAGCCCGGTTGACACCATCTTAGGTAGGATCTTGGTCTTGGTGGAGATGGTAGATCATGCATGCATTTGCTACAGGACACATATAGTGATTTCCTAAATGTACAGTATCTAGAGAATTCACAGTATCATTAGACCACCTTGAGTCGTGACTGCGGAGCCGCGCATTGCCATCCATACCATACATACAGCGCTTGGCGTGATCGGGAACCTGTCTGAGGACAGCTGTCACCGAATGACCCAATTACCATCATCTTCATCAGAATCACCATCAACGAGGTCCTCTTCATCGTTGAGCGCCATCTGCACAAATCGACGGACCCAGGCCTCCTGTGCCGGGTCCAGACCATCCTGGTTGTTCTCATCCTGGCCCTGTGCTTGCTGAAGTAGTTGAGGTTGTCGCTGGTTCACTCGTTGACGATTAGCAACAGCTCCCCCGCCACGAGCCCCTCCTCCTCTTCCTCGGGCTCCCGCGCCTCCTATTCTCCCAGCCCCTCTTGCGCCGCGTCCTCGCCCCGCTGGACCTCGAGGGGGGCCATTATGGCCGCGGCCCGCGAGTTGTTGCGGTGCGTCGGGTGCAGCGGGAGGAATAGCCCTTCGACCATCGCGAGCTTGATTATCGACGAGTCGTATAACGAGGGGTCCTTCACGCGCAATCTCGATACCTTGGCCCTGGCCTCCAAGCGGTCTGTTGTTGCCCTGGGCATTAGCTCCGTCCTCGCCGTCACTGTCATCAGACTCGATAACTTCCGGCAGAGGCATAAGTTCAATATCATCGAGTGCCGCGGGAGCATCTGCAACGGGACCGCGGCCACCAACGAACCCTAAGCCCACGTCGTCGCCATCGCCACCCTCGAGTTCCCACAGCCGCATGTAACAGGAAGTGACCTTGCCGCCCGCCAGCTGGTTGTAGTGCTGGTATGGATTCACCGGGTCAAGCCAGGAAGAGCATAGATAGCAGAAATGAGTGTCGCATCGCGAGCAGATCATGTGGTTGCAGCCGTGTGTCTTCTGCGCAGGGGCGTTGCATGTAGGGCATGGACTTGTGTGAAGCTGTAGGTACTCGAGTGATGCTTTTTCCTCTTCGCTGAGTTCTCCCTTATCACGTCGTGGTGCACATCGGACAAACTCTCCGTGCCATGACTGGTAGCATTGGCCACAGAAGGCGAAGCCACAGTCTTCGCAGATGGCCAAGAGATCCGCTTTGCTAAACGTTTCCTTATTCTTCCTTTTCCCAGACTTGACACTATTCCCTTCTTGTTCTTGTTCTTTCTGTTCTTCTTCAGCATCAGGCGTCTCGGCAAACTCTAAACCTTCCGGCTTCTTGTGACGTTTCGATCGGGCCGCTCCATTACACCACTGTCGTGGACAGTATATTGTGTTTTTGTCAGACTCGAGTTCTGTCTTGTACTTGAGTGTGACGTATCGCTTCACCATTTCCTCGGAGAGCCCAATCTGGAGAAGCTCGCTAGGGCTGATGGCAACCTTGTGCTTCTTTGTGTCTCTCGATGCTGCACGCTTCTTGGCGCAGTTAGGGCTCAGACAACGAACGGTAGAAAGATTGCCCTCGTTGATTGCGTCGTTGTAGAAATCCTGTAAGCATTGAATACAGAAAATATGTCCGCAGTCAAGCATTCTGTGACACTTGGAGCCCTTTTTGGGATCTATGTAATGTCAGTAGGTGAATGAGGATCCGTGATGAATATGCATACCGAGACAGACACCACAATCAAATGTCTCCTTTTCAAAAGCCGCCTTTTTGGCTTTTATATCGTGGTCCAGCACGGCTAGTTTATGTTCTGGATCAACCTGAAGTGTTCCCTCAGGACTGATGGTTCCAAACACGTCTTCAGCGGCGCGCTGAATATGGTCGATGTAAGTAAATGCAACCATATCGCGACCAATCTCGTCCCATAAGCGCGGCCCATCATCCTCAAGCCGTTTGATCGTTTCCCTCGACAACCACTGCGGTATGGTAGATACCACAATGTCTGGTGGCGCATCTGTAGGGTAACCCTCTGGGAGACAGACTCTCAACCGTAGAGGGGGCAGGTACGAGACTTCAAGAGAATCAACCTCAGGCTGGGCATTCTCAGTAGCTTGGCCAAGTGTGGTGAGTCCTGGGTGGGCGGGTGCTGACGCTGCTGGGAAATTGACGGTAACAGAAGCGGCCGGCTCAACGGGGAGATCTATCTCGAAGGTGAAGGGGTCCTTTGCGTCAGGGCGGCGGATCTCTGGGTATATGGCCTCAATAGAGCCAAGCTCTATGAGACGTGGGTCGTCGTTGTAGTCCATGGCTGTTGGGGACATAGGAAAACCTCACAGCTCCGTCAGGACACCAGAAATTCGGACTAGGCCTGAGATGATTCAGAACGCACTTGGCAGGCTCCTTGGCCAGTGTTTTCTTCTGGGCCCCCTTTTTAATAACCTTGATTCTTTTGACACTTCGAGACTGCTATGAGTTGTTATACCTTGGGAGGAGTGTATATTGTGGGCGATGAACTTCAGCAAAGACTTTGTCCAGAGTGGCGAGGCTGAGTAAGTATGTCAAATACCAAGGGCCCTCAAATTTACCAGCCCTTCTTAGTGAATTTTTGTTAGGCCTCCATCATTTTAGTCTCCTTCTCGTTCTTCCTTGTCAAGACTTGAACATGAGGTACTTTACGTAGAGAGAGGGGCGAGGAGAGGGTTTTTAAGATAGTGCCCAAGATAGATAGGGCTACTTCGGAATGGCCTGCAAGTGACTAACGCCGGATTGTGAAGAGTAAGATGCAATATTGGGCTATGAAGGAAATGGGACGATATTATTCACGCCTGATATAACATTGTAAAGTAACGTAGATGACTCTTTGGCCGTGGTTGAACGTGGTAACGCCTTGTTTCGGTATCCGGTATTCACAGCGTTGACAAATAAGAGACTCCGAAATCCGAGACGCCACGTTTATTTTTCTCCTGCTTGCGCCACATATGCAGCCACAGCCAGCGGCCTACATCGTCATCTACTGGCTAAGGCACTAACTAGAGGCTACAACACAAGCTTAAACTTGGATTTTACCTTTCGTTTGTGTTTTACTTGTACTCGTGATCGCCTCGGGCTTCTCCTGTGTTTTTTGTTTCTTCTCCTTTTCATATATACAGACTGTGCCAACCAGAGACCACGGTGGTGCCCTACTAGGAGAATGCAGCCTCTGTCTATATCCTGAATCTCTCGGATACCGCACATACCTACCTACCTAGCCAGCTCATCATGGATGACAGTTCAACTCCCCTCGCTTCTCTCTCCGTCACCCACGTCTACTACGTAAGTTTCACACCTACAACAAAAAGACCTGCAATAATGATCGCAAATAGGACCCTGACGATCATGTCTCCCTCGCCTGCGCCTACCTCGCCCTCCTCCCCCAAGCCCTATGCGTCGTTTACGCCACGCTCGTCCTTTTTACCCGCGAGGTCGAAGTCGCCTTGATGTTTCTCGGTCAACTTGCCTGTGAGGTGCTCAACTTTGCCTTGAAACGGCTGATTAAAGAAGAACGTCCGCGTCGCATACACGGCAAGGGCTACGGCATGCCTAGTTCCCACGCACAATTCGTTGCCTTCTGGAGTGTCTCCCTGGCTCTGTTCCTGCTTGTCCGCCACAAACCTCCTCGTGTACATTGTATTCGTTCAGAAAGTAGCTTGCACCGACCGTGGAGCGTTCTTGAGAGAGTTGCTGTTAGTGTAGCTGGGGCGGCGATTGCGGCTGCGACGGCATGGAGCAGAGTATACTTGAACTACCACACCCCTAAACAGGTCGTTGTGGGTAGTGTTGCAGGTGTCATAAGCGCTCTCGGTTGGTTCATTATTGTTGCTGCCGTGAGGCAAACCGGCTGGCTAAAATGGGCTCTAGAGACGCCTTTGGCGAGAGCTTTCAGAGTTAGGGACCTTGTCATTGAAGAGGACATGTGTCAGGCTGGTTGGGAGAAGTGGGAGAAGAGGAGAGCTGCTTCTCAAATGATAAAGAAAGACAGATAGCCATCACTGAATTGACAACAATCACCACACAAGAGACTGAATACTAATATAAATTACCGGTATCCTGAATCAGCGATACCGTCCTGACTGAAGTCGACCTTCTGGCATTGGGAATGTTATTGAGGATGTCCACCTAATCTTCTGGTATTATCTATATATAAAGGGGACCAAATCTCGACGCTAGTTAAAGACGGCCTAAATATGAAAGAAAAAAAACACGCAAGGGAATCGTTACAGTTGCCAAACCGTTCATGAAATCGTCATCCTCCCCAGTTGCCAAGCCGTTTTGTCCTCTATCAAATCCATGGTCCTTTTCCTTTTGTTGCCTCCAAGTCAATTCTTGACCCTTGGCGACTATGTACTCTACCCGTCTCTGGCCCAGCCCTTGAGCCTTGTCGGCTATGCATTCTGCCAACCTCTGGTACAGCCCTAGAGCTCTGACGGCTGGCAAGTCTGCTTGGCTCTCCCATACTTCTTGAGCCCTGTCGGCTATGAGCTCTTACAGAACTGACTGATCCAGCCATGGGGTTATGCGAGGCTGAGACGGGCGTTTTCTCCTGAGGGCTATATACAGCGGAACTGAGAGTTGTCTCCGGCGGAGTATTCATACCCGCGCTGAGAGGAACTGGTGGAAGTTCCTTCTCGGATAGTCTCTCATCAAAGTTGTCCTGAATCTTATACCTAGTGCCCTCGCCTGGGACATCGACGATGGCAATGGCAAGTGGACTCGTTTTTCTTGGGAAGAACCTCACTGTACTGTTGGGACAGTCCAGGTTGTGCACTTGGTTTGTATTTGTGTCTAGCTTGAGCTCCGGTTTGGCGGGGCGCATATCGCCGATGTTGGAAAGGCGCAGTCCAATCTGCACAGTTGCAGTTGAGAGCATAGAAGCACCACTTGACCGAAATCTTTTATCTGGTAGACGGAGGGCAGGAGGTGCAAGAAGTTCGTCAGCTAAATTTTGAAGCGCCGGTGTTTTCTTGGGCGTAGACTCTTTGTAGGTTGTTGTCGGCAAAAGGATGGGCGACTTGGGTGGCTCGGCTTTGGGGAAAATGCTGTACATGCTCCTCTTGAAGTTTTTTATGGACTCCTTTGATGATGTCCGTACAGGTTTCGGTGCGGATGGAAGACCGCCTGAGTTACGCATACTTCCCAATCGCAGGGGCTTCAGGCCACGGTTGAGGAAGTCCTTGCGTGCACCAAACACTTTGTCTTCCACTCTGTCGTCCAGCGTCAGATCTTCTTTGCTTTCAGCTTTGTGAACCAGCTTGGGAAGATCAAGAGGCTGTAGCATCGCAGACCCAGGGGTTGGGGGCTCTTGATCCTGGTCATCACCCCATTTTCTGAAACCCTGAGACGCTTCAATGTCGTCATCAGAACAGCCGGTTGGGGATCTGCTTGATCGCAAGAAGAGATACAGGCAGCCAAGCAATAGTCCTGACATGTTCATTACAACTGTTCCGATCATGTTCAGTGTCATTGACGTGTCATCTGCTGCTCCTGTATCTCGGAACGCCGTATTGTAGAAGAATGTTATCTGCAAAGTCTGTTCAAAATTAGTACAAGCTATCACTTTCAGATTCGTACTTACATATGATATCACAGCAATTATCATATGGTAAACCATGCGAGATGCCTCGTCCCTCTCAATCATGCGCATTCTGGCACCAGTATGAAGTTTGAAGCATATAACTCCGCACTCGATCAGAACTATCAGGATGACAGTGAGTAGAACCCCAAAACACCCGGCATCGTATCGATGTAGGAAAGAGATCAAACTGGCAAAGCAAAACTCCGATGGCAGAACAGCAAAGGTTATGGAGAACACGATGATCAACAAGATACCAATGGTTACTAGACAGGCAAGGGTGTTGAATTTGCCACGGAAGGGGAATATGCTCGGCCTCGTAATACGGATTGTCAACTCCAGCCCGAACAACATCTGAATGAAGGGTACAATGAAGAAAGCTAAATTGGATTAGTATCTTCAAGTGAAAGCTTGGTAATCTTTGAACATACCAAGCAGCATCATTCGCGATACCGTGGCACAACCAAGGATCATAAGTGACTCAAGTCCCTTGGCTTGAGCAGTAGCATACACAATTCCCTGAACTACAATGCCCAAGGAAAGTACGAAGGGGTAAATATCTCGTCCTTTGACTAGCCGAAGCCACGACGACCTAAGAGTGACTGTGAGGACAAAATCTTGCGGATCGGGAAATGCAGTACATACTTGAAGTCCCATATCGGTTCGACTTGTTTCAGTGTTCTCCATGAGCGCAGAAGAATACTGATAGTAACTGCGAACGCTACTATCACGTTGAAAACCGATAGGACGATGATCGAGGTGCGGACGGAGCCAGCTGCAGCAAACTTGAGTTCGTTGTCCCATTTTGATGTAGAATTTGCCTGGAACTGAAAGCCGGTCGAGTCCATCGTCGGGTCGTTGTCCATGTTGTTGTCGTGTTCTGGTCAAATTCGAGGTGATTATAAGGAGAGGGCAGGCGTTAAGCCTTCACAGTGCCGGCACCGCGTTATCCTTCTTGGTAGACCTAGTTTCCCATGTCGAGGTCGAGGTCGTATGAAAGTAATGAAAGAGGGCTAGGATGCCAAAGGACAGGGAAAGATGATGAATGAAATGGAAAAGCACCGAGATATGATAGCAGGAACCAGAATGACCTCTAGGCGTATATTTGGTCAATTGAAGAAGCAGAGCAAAGTTTGAGAAGCAGTAGACAGATGATCAAACACTCGAGATGTACTGTAAAAATGAAATACAATGAAATGGAAATGGCACCTGGCCTGTGGCAAACGAATGTAAGATTGAAAAACAAGAAAAGAAACGAAGATCAGACAAGCACCAGCTAGGTGGGAGGAGACTGAGGCAATGGAGGCGATATAGGACTTGATATCTCGAATTGAGGGCAAATCACATCGAGCGGGAACGCAGATTGCTCTAGATCCGGTGAGCTTGGTGACCCCTGCGCGACTCAGAAATCTCCAAAGAGCAAGGATCAAGCTGCTTCATGACGGAGCTTGGTAGCATTGAAGCTGTCGCCCCTGAGAGATGGTGGTGAAGAATGGTAGCCAAGCGAGCCAGGCCAGGCCCTTGGTGTGGGCTAGAGGCATTTCCCGCATTAGAGCGAGAAGGGTATTGTTTCACCCGTGTAGATTGGGTTTCTGGGATGCTGATTCTCGAATACGCTGACGAAATCCGTGTAAGAGAATGCAACTCCACCACGAGATTGAGTTCCCTGGGCTCGATCATCTGTGCCATTCTCACTTGAGCTTTGACGATGATCGACCTCGAATGGAAGCCACAACTGAACTGCTTCTCAAGGCCCTCCTGACAGTGATACTTCACCACTGAGTGAGCTTCTTGAACGAGTGCCCTGAGGGCGGCGAAAAACGCCGGTTCGAAGAGGCTGAAGCATTGTTGTTACAGAGTCAAGTTTCGTCGGGTTGTAAGAGGCAGGAGTTCAAGGGAAGCAAACGGTGGGGTTAATCCGCATCTGGGCTAGCGTCCACGTTTGTCCGTTTTGTGCAACTACGCCGTGGATTTAAAACAAGAAGGAAACATGGATTAGGGAGGGATCCCTTTTAGCATGAGAGCTAACGAGACAATGACTAAAGGGCCAAGAGCTTAGACGAGTGCCATTCCCTCTTTTGGAACAGAGGGTTTGAGATTACAATGGCAGGTCACACGGATCCTGCTGGTGCCGAAGGCGGGGAGCACGGCTAGCCACGAGACGATGGATACAGGGACGTTTCGCAAGGTTCAGAGCTTGCACCCGGTAACAGATCTGTCAACGGAGCCATGCGAACGCCTAAAAACTTCCTGCACAGTGAGAGAGGGCACTAGCTTGCTAGCTTGCAGCTGGAAGCGAGTGAATTCCATTGAGAGCCCAGCCCCAGCCTTGTCTGTCTGTCTGTATCTGCGGACCTGGTGGTTGGTTCTCCATTTCGTTGTTTCAAGCCTTTCCACTTTATCTTTGAAACCCACTGCTCTGTAAGCGAGGTCAGCCAGACAAGGTCAAGGTTCAAGTGCCGAACTCTTGGCAGTTCGTGTGCACAGCTATCGACTCGTAAATTGACAAGTCTTGTGCGTTGGTTCTTGTTTAGAATACCGAGTCGTCCGTCCGGGAGCATGTTAGACTGGGGAAGAGCACGCATGTAAGTGGATGGATGGAGGATGTGCTGTGTTTAATATAACTGTGAAAACCCCATAGATCTCTGGAATGGGGAGAAGTTTCATCAGCATCTAGCTCTAGACTAGTACAGTATTAGAAATCGACTTGATAGCGAGTTTGTTATGGCTAGTCACATTCATTGAGTCTCTGTCTGATAGTTTGCCCGGTCTATTAACCTTTACTTGTGTGACTTTCACTCTCCATGCCTGTTGATGGAGAGTTAGGGAACGTCAAGGCTTTGATCCCAAGGGTTAGAAAATGCTTGGATAAGCTTAGGACAGCTGGAGCATACTCAGTAAGCATTTTGATCATTTTATTCTGGCATCCTGATTATATGCCATACTGTGTAAGTCTTTGCTATTTTCTAGGCATTAGTCTAACATGGATTGCCCACTCTTTACTGTTTCCTCACACGTCCAGGCTAGAAGGATAATGAAGTGAGAGATGTTTACTCCTCAAACAAGTGCTCCCGGAAAGGGTCTGGATTATAGCTATGGGTGCTATAGCAGACAGTCAGTGGCTTGCGAAGCGTTTGATTAGAGAGACTTCATGGTTGGTATCAGTTACAAGAAGCACCTCGATATTTATATGTAATCTCGTGTCAATAGTACCTTCTCTTCATCCTATCTTCTTGTAATGGATGCTTAAAACGAAGGTGTTACTGAGTGTTAAGCGTGGGGTACGGATGACAGGTCTCTTATTATAGCTTTACTGCAGTAGCTTCACTTCCGTCTTCGACTTGGCACCCCTATCTATATTTGTGTAATGCAAGATGAAAATTTGTCCTTCTTCTTTATGATACGTACTAAATAAACACATTTCTCGTTGTTTTCTTTTTGTATTATAACTCGATCAAAAATGGTCTGACGGTTTGTTCTTGCTTATGCTGTCCCATCGGCATTTATAGCCAAAGGAGATACCTCAAGCTGTTTCGATGTTTTGAATTCTCTGCTTCGAGTTAAAAGATATCTTCGATCGTTTTACTAACATATTAGACTTCACACAGTTTCACCTTGCATTGACGGGCTCAAGTTGATCGAGGCCTTCGTGAGAACTTTGAGGGGGCTGTTCACACCACCACAAGTTATTAGAACACCATCCATGTTCGCATGTTGAATGGGGAGATTGTTTATGCTGAACAGACGCTAACGAAGGTATTCATTCCTGAGAGGCGATGTCGCACAGTTTACCGCCTTCGATCAATGGTCCAGAAGCTTATGTTATATTGGTCATATCCACCAGCACGTCAAGTAAGCCTCAGTAAGCCTCAGTAAGCCATGCTCCAAGTGACGTTAAATATTATCAATGATCACGCCAGCTCTACATCTGCCGGCCTTACATGAACAGATTTATCGTGGTCAAGCAATATGTACTAATGTGTTCTGTCTGTTGGCTTGAGACTATCACGATGATGCTTTGGCCCCTGATTACCCTAAACTGGCTAAGTTTACTAACATGCGAGTTCAATGCTTACTCAACAAGGCTAACAAGCATGTGAACTCGTAGCCAATGGCTAGGAGTTCATTTTCCAATGCAATCAAGAATATCATGTGCGAGACCCAGCCCAAAGGGATCCACCGTTATTAAATCAGCACACTGCAGATGGGCAATAGCTAGGTCAAGTCTTTGAAGCTGCTATCATGGTCTAAGGTCCCTACCTACCTATATAAAGCCTTATCGTATTCACAAGTACCTTGGTTGATACATAGATGGTAGAGTCACGGCGGGGAAAGTAAGAGAACTCAGCGATCAGGACGATTTTGATATCAACTCTCTTCAAAAAGGGTCAAGATCGTTAAAGTCCTGGCTTTCTTAGAAGCGGTTCAGTGGATCCATCTCCCAGCTGCCCCGCTATTGAAGCCGGGCTAACAACGTCATCCAACCATACGAGCAACACTTTGAAGACAAAAGGTACAGCAATTGAAAGGAACAATCGTGCGTTATCCTTTCAACTGCAGAAATGGGAGACAACACGGAGAAACACATTCACTTTGATGATGGTCGCAATCGTGAATACGATGGGAGTTCTGACGAGGACTGCAAGGCAGTAGAGGTTCGTCCATACTGTCGCCAACACCAGAGGACAACCAAGAATGGTGCGACTGATCTAATAATCGCCAAAACAGGTCGTCTTCGATCCCGGAAACCCATATCGTCGCAAAAGCTCAATGGTTGCCTCAGAGATCAAGGCGCCTGTCATGCGCCATCCTTCGCGGCGTGATGAGTGCCTAGTCCACCAGTTTCTCGACAGTCAGCGACGCGCAAAAGACGCTGCCAGCTCAGCCAGCGAGCCAGAGTCGGAACCTTCAATAGGAAATAACCCTTCATCATACTTGAGCAACAATCCAGATCCTAGCCATGCCACCTTTCACAAGGCTCTCAATGGCGATCACATCGAAGCTGTTCGCGACGACAGCCTCGACTCGATTGTGGACCCCAAATATCAGAAGAAGTGTCGCGCTGTTGTCGAGCCTGGCAGTATGGAACACTCAGGCCAAGCTGATCAGCAGGCCTGGACTCAACAGATGACCAAAAGCATGTCCGACATTGATCTTTCGGGTTATCAGGACGACGTGCGAAGTCGCCTTCTAACCAAGCAGCAGCTTAGCGATATGGCCTGGGGTGTACGTGAGCTAAGTCGCCGACTGAGTAGCATGCGCCTTCGGTTCAAGGTCAAGAGCATATTCATCCTCACAAAGATATACGATATAGATCTAATCCCAAAAACACGAGAATTGGTCAAGTGGCTCCTACAGCATAATCACGAGGTCGCCTACACCGTCTATGTTCAAGACAAGCTCAAAGCAAACAAGAAGTTCGATGTCAGTGGCCTCATTGACGAGGTGAGCAAGGAATATCTTGATAAAGGGGACGTGAACGAGCAGGCTGTCAAAGAAACGCTGAACAGGCGACTCCGATATTGGGACGAGAACATGTGCAGAACACGACCTCATACTTTTGACTTTGTCATCTCACTTGGCGGTGATGGTACAGTGTTATATGCCAGCTGGCTCTTCCAGCGCATTGTACCACCTGTATTGAGTTTTGCACTAGGCAGCCTGGGTTTCTTGACCAAATTTGACTTCGAGGACTATCAGCAGACACTCTTAACGGCCTTCACCAAGGGGGTTACAGTTAGCCTGAGGCTTCGTTTCGAAGGCACTGTCATGAGGAGCCAGCCACGCAAGAGAGCACAGATTATTAAGGGCTCTGAGGAGGACGAGGAGCAGTCCCGAGACTTGGTGGAGGAGCTTATAGGTGAGGAGAGGGAAGATGAGCACACGCATCGGCCGGATGGGACGTTTGAGATTCTGAATGAGGTGGTAGTGGACAGAGGGCCAAACCCAAGTGAGAATCCCAGAGTAAACGTTACCCCTGCAGGATATGTTCTAATGTATATTCTAGCAATGTCAACTACCGAGATTTTTGGTGATGATGAGCACTTCACCTCAGTCTTAGCCGACGGTATCTGCGTTTCGACACCCACAGGCTCAACGGCATATAATCTCGCCGCCGGGGGCTCCTTGTGCCACCCCGAGAACCCCGTGATGCTGGTTACGTCTATATGCGCGCACACCCTGTCATTCAGGCCTATTATCCTTCCTGACACGATTGTGCTGCGGGTCGGTGTTCCATATAGCGCAAGAACAGCTTCATGGGCGAGCTTCGATGGCCGAGAACGTGTCGAGCTCAAGCCAGGAGATTACGTGACCATCAGCGCCAGTAGATTTCCATTTGCCTCGGTGCAAGCCGAGGGACGGAGGAGTGAAGACTGGGTGAACAGTATCAGTGGAAAGTTGGGATGGAATACTAGACAAAAGCAGAAGAGTTACAAGGAGTGGGAGAAATGAGACGATGTGTACCGATTTAGTATGGACTGAAATCATATATGTGAAGGGTGGCGTTTTGATGGCAGATTTTGAGGATTGGCGTTCTCATTGTACTATTTGAGCTGAGGAAACACATCCTGTCGTCCCTGCAAAGGGTGCTATGCTCGTGTGAATATGCACTTTTCCAGAAAGGTTTCGGGTCGTTTGTTTGGGCGTGACGCAGGGGCTTGGCTACCGGTAAATCTATATAGTAACGAGTTCAATGAGATGCATCACCAATACTGAGTGAAAACCAGTCACGTAATTATTACTCAGGCGAAGAGAGGACGAATACTGTTGAGAAACTTACGATGGCCTGACCGTAAGCTTTACGGTTCTTGTGACGATATGATCTTGTGACGATATGCTCCTAACCTTCAAGATACATGATAAGATCTAGATCTAAGCTTCGGGTATCTAGGCTTGAAAGAAAAGAAATTCTTCAGAAGAGGCTCTGCATGACTGCCGTGTGCCAGCATCCATTATCTCAATGCCACAGCTGGGCTTTGCATTCTGCACCCATATCACTGCAGTTCAACAACAAACACTACATATATACTATAAAATGACTTCATGGCTTGAGGTCTCCTGGTATCTAGAGAGTCTTCTTACCTTGACGCAGATTCAAGGCATTTGAGATGTCCTTGACTGAGTACCAAATAATCCAAAGTGGGATCCAGACCCAGAGAGTGTTGAAGAAGAACAAGTAAACCCAAAGGTACATGAAGTTGCTCGTATCGAGATTAGCACTTCCAATGAGCCATTCAGGACAGAAAGTCATGAATCCTGAGCGTTGTTTAGTTTGGCGAATTCATATAGATTGAGGTGCTGTCGAGACTTACCACCGTACAGCTCACAAGTAGCCAGGACAATCATCCAGATGCTGACCTTGGGGTCCTTCTTAGCGAGGCAGTAGCACACATAAACAGCTAAAGGCCCGTCAAAGAACACAGTCAACAACTCCAGACTTACAACCCCCAAGTCGACACCAGCCCATCTCTTGTCAGCCCTCGCATATACCATCCATAGCTGGGCAAACGGGTTGTCTCCACCTGACTGCGCACCATATACTCGATCGCTATAGCCTAGGAATCCAGGAGGTGTTGGGAACAGGTCCGTCTTCACGTCATCGACAAGGGGTTGGTGCGAGAAGAAGCAGTGGTACAAAAAGCTGCCTTCGAGGAGAAAATGACACAGGGCATCGGCGAGATGCCATATGAAGAGAAACCGGAGAACCCCCGAGGAAGAGGATGGTAAGAAACGCAAAGAGGCAGCATAGGCGACGAAGACGATTGCGAGCGTTGAGAGGAGGGAGATGATTGTTGTTTGGTCGAAAAGGTCGGGCGGGAGGGACGATGAGGGTTCTGTGGCCATTGCGTCGAACCTCAGTAATAAATCTCTTGTGATGGAATTAGATCGAGGAGTGAAAAGTCCAGTTATTGAGTTACAGTTGCAATTATGTTGTCGAGGAAATCTGAGCTTCGGGAGAGGAGCGGTGTCGGAAATGAGACGCGATTGCGGCTCGTTTTCGGTGGTAGCTTTACGCGATAGCTTCAAGCTGTGGAGTATCAGTAAGTTACCACCACCATATCTCACGTCGCTATGTTAAAAAAGAAGAACAAGCTCAAAAATAGAACTATAAAACTATGGCAGCGAATTTTCCAGAAAGGACCTTCTGATATACAGTCGTATGTATCATTCTATGCGAAGCTTGATTGAAACTATTCACGTGCTCTAGCACGTGGTAACAACAATCAGAGACTTCGGATGGTATGAGGATATGAGGACACTAACTTCAAAGACTTGGTGAAATGCACGAGGATTTCTCACCTTGATAGAGAAACTGATCATTCGAAGCATTGTTAAATGTACATCTTCCAGCACATGTCGATCTAAATGGGGTAAGTTGTGATAAGCAGACACGGTAATTGTCCATGGTTCAGGCGATCATATAACGAAAACAGGGAGGCCGAGGTGTATTCAATAAGTCGATTGAAGATATACTGGGCACTCGATATCTGAATGTTCAATATGGAGTGCACAGCAAGTCCCTGAGCGAGACATTAACCAAATTCTCCACAAGGTTGTACCTTGATCGTTTCTCAGGCAAGAAAATATCTGCAATGTTTACCAATTGAAACTGTCACGGACTGAGACTATCCGGAAAGCGGTGTACTCCATAAGAATTGCATTACAGTATGAATTGCCAGAGATTCTGACGCCAGAGTCATGTTTTAAAGGCCGTCTCACAGCTTTTATACTGCCTATCACTTCCTCTCTCTTCATGTCTTCTTCACATGCCACAATAGCATTTCGACTTCACTATCCAATCTGAGTGTGGAACAGGATCTCATGGTTTTCATCCCTACTATTTCTTCCTTTATTTCTGCTTCTTGAAAAGCACATATATTAGTTAAACTTCAGACTTTATTTACTCGTCATTTTGTTGTGAAATATTAACATCCTTCATCAGATAACATGTCTTCCTGCGGGACCCGCGTCTACGAACATATCGTCTTCTGCCGACGGAGCTACAAAATTTGATATTTTGCACTTCTGTGGTCCACGCTACGAAACATGATGTTTTTAATTGACTCCTGGTGATAATAATTACAGGAACTGTCATCTGACTGTCTATATAGGCTAGGGGAGGGAATAAAACTTAGGACCTTAAGCCTAACTAATATAAAGATTCAAGTAATTTAGTCTAAACTTAAGATCAATTTAGAATGCCTTTTACAGAGTTTATTTTATTACTTTAAACTTAAGTCTTATATTTTCTCGCTCCCTAAGGGTTGGTCACATGCTGTATCATCTGTATAACAAATACACACAAGCCCTCAGTAACGCGATATATTTATGTTGAACGCGGCGAACACCCTAAACCCGCTCTAGAATAATCTCTAGGTTAACAACAAGAGCAGATAAAACGCTATTTCACTCATGATGGCTATAGTACAAATTGGGTCTGAGCAGCGTGGCGCAGTATGAGTTGACTTAAAGATGAGACAATTTGTAAGGACTTTCAACCCCTGGTGTCAAGATTTGTGATGTGTGCAGCTTTCCTTACCATTATATTAGCCGTTCTTGACGTCAGAAGGAATAACAATTAGGTAGACAATTACTTTTTACTGTCTTTTCTCACTCAGGATGGCACGGCACAGATTTACGTGGATGTGTGATTAATCGTCGAGCACGAAAACCCAAGTGTTTCCTAACCATCAAGGTTCGAGTTCCCACCAGCATTAACTAGGGGAGCCTCAAAGAGCAGGAAAACATCGGACCTTGAGGTAAGGTGTCAAAATAAACTCAGCAAAGGGTAGCCTAAGTCTATACTAAACTTATCCTAAATTTATCCTAAACTTATATTAAGTTACCTAAGCTTTTTTATTACTTAGGATCAAGGTCCTAGGTTTTCTTTCCTCCTCTGAGGGAGTCAAGGCCATATTTCAGGTGTGGGGGACGAGGAATGAGTGATCCTAACAAGGAAATACAAAGTCTCGGCACAGCAGATTGTACAAGATTACAACACTTCTTACGGAGTACTACTACCCTGGAATGCGATTGACATGTCACAATCCATACCGACCTTATCTACTACTTTCTCACAAAGACTCAAGTGAAGAAAGGTACCATAATATCGTAACCTGTTTGCGATTCTACATAAATAAGTTCTCTCCTGCATCCCTCTGGGAGATGATAGATGTGGCTTGACACCATACTAAGACAAAAAGCCTCGAAAAACGAAAACATGAGACACCGAGTTGCTAGAGTAGTATCGAGAAAACGAACAGCCACCAAAAGGCTGTGGTGGCACATCAGAAAACCAGAATTTTTCAAGCATATGCATACAGAAGGTTGGTAGCGGAGACATTGCTCCGTCAAAAAAGGACCACGAGGGGAAAGATCTCGATGGAGAGCACAGCAGATAGTAAAGGACACCAATCAGCACCAGCAAGCGGGAATGCAGGCGTCGGGCGTAATTGTGTTTTACCCGCCTCGGGCGGAGTCGGTCACAAGCAAGCAAGTTGAAGAATCAAATGCCCGATTTGGGGAGGCACAAAATACTGTACGGTGTACCTAATGAGTGAAGTGTGAGGTAACTATCCGTAGCTTGCGGATAAGCGTGATTGAAATGCATATCCACATAACGTCATTGTTGGTAGGATAGCTCTGGCCACGTCACCGCCACACTCCATGCTACCCCGCTATGTGGCGGCGCCGTTAAGCCCGGAAGCGGGGCAGATCTGACCCATCGTGTTACACGATATCACGGGAAGTGGGTCCGCTGCTTAAAGAAGAAATACCTTCAAAGAGCTCTGAAATGACATCAAACTCTGGAGAGTCTTTGGAACAGAGGCGAATTTTAAGCCGCAAGGGACCGAGGTCGATCATGTGTCAGTATCTAGGTATCTCTTCTAGAATTACACCATACACAGGGTACAATCCTTGAATTATTCCCAGCCGGTACCCCGCGACGCGCATAATGCGTATACAGACCAGTCTCCTCTTCTACCCCCACCAAATAAAACAAGTCCCAGATCCTTTGATCGAGATGACGTTCCGGTGATGACCTGACGTCAGGAATGTCTCTGGAGCAACCATCACAAACCAAACGCGCGAGCTTGTTTGCTATCTTGTTTTCAAGTTGTCGAGTAAACCAGAGCATTACTGGGGTACGACCGATTGCTTCCCACTTATCAATAACAGTAACGTATCAAGCCGTCTAGGCAACGTAGGACTCCTATGCAGAAGCCAGTCAATGACGACACTTTTTCCCTTCACATGATAGCCCATGATAACTGGACAGGCGGGGAGCAATGGGGACAGGCATACCAAACCGTGAACGCCAAACAAGTGGTCAAACACTCGATGACGACGGCTTACTTACAAGTTGAAACAAGAATAGTGAATCAATCTATATAAACCCCCATTCCTCCTCAGTCCAGTCCCTTCCCTCTCCTCATAATCACACACAACCTCAACAAATCATCAACCTCAGCATTTACCAACTTAAGTTTTTTACGAGAATAATCAAATTAATACACAATGGACTCCATCAAGAACACTGTCAACCAAGCTACTGAGAAGGTAAGAATGCTCTGAGATCCCGCCATGCTTCTAAGTTTCACTGCTAACATCTATCAAGGTCCAGGAGGGTCTCTCTGGCACCAGCAAGGAGGCTAACAAGGAGGTAAGTCCAGCGAACACGCTGCCTTTTACTCAGAACGTATGGCTAATCGATTTCAAGGTGGCTAAGGATTCAAACGCTGGAGTTGGCACTCGGTAATACCGACCCCTCAAGCATACAGACTCTCAACTATTATGAATTATCTAACCTTTCTTTTCTCCAGTGCTTCTGCGGCCAAAGACGCAGCATCTGATAAACTTGACGAGACGAAACACTCTGCTAAGTCTGAGGGTTACTCTGCTCAGAAGTGAGCAATGTTGAGAGGATCGAAGGAAACAATGCCTCACGATATCAGCATATATGCAAGACTTAGTCATATTATAGCTTAAAGAGATATTATACTCACATCTACAATCGTTTCTACGGGTTAAAATTCATGTCCTGATATCCTATATCCGGGTGAAAGGACAAAGCCAAACTCGCAGATCTTGTTAAAGACTACACATGACCTGAAAAGCGATCTCAAACAGGTAACAAGATATTTGCAATCAATAACAGCAACAAGGCCAGGATATTTTATGCTTGAATCTCTTAGAAAAATATAAATATACATACTAATCAACGTTACTGTATCTAGGTTCCCAATATTAGTGATGAACTGTTTATTAACACTTGGTGTCCTAGTAACAAAGCATCACAAACAGTAACAGTGTAGAAAGATAACTTATCTAGTCTGATGGCATACGTATATACACATGTATATCACTAACTGCCCAAATAAGTGCAGGAAGATCTCAAAGTCTAGCACTAGGTGCAAGTCGATTGAACAACTTCAAGATACCATTGACAATCAATTGACCTTCGAATATGAATTTAAGCCTTAGTAATTCTTCTTGACTACCTGATCCGGCTCACAGGGCGCTCCAAAGACCACAGAGCACTGTGGTCTCGACCTTGAGAAGGCAAGGAAGAAGAGAAACGGACAAAGCGAAGCGGCTGTGACGAGACTAAGAGTCTTTAACTACAAGGAACTTAGAGATAGTTGAACGAAATCGGGTGATTTTACACACTCAACCACGAGTTGTAACGCATCCGGGGCCCCAAAATCGATCCTTGTGAACTCAGCGACAACTTAGTGCAGGCTAGGCTACACATAACAACGGTAACAACACCAGCGCCATCGCCATTCTAACAGAAAAATTCTGTCACTGTCGATTAGATGCAGGCCAACTATGGCCACCGCGTCACTAATTTATACAAACAGTCGACCTGGACTGACACTCCAGATATAACTGAAAACTTACCAAGACAAGATGACCGCACTAACTGCCAAATCTCGAGGAGCAAAACATCAAACGAATAAACGCAAGAAGATGGGTTACCTCTGAATTATTTCTGGCTTATAAGGAGCTTAATCCCACCATGCGAACGATGTCCTGGATTCTGCCAACATGGCAAACGAGACTCCGATTCCCTTCTTGGATCCGCAACAGCCGACCAGTCACTCACCAGTCCCTACAGGTAAGACTTCTCAGTTATGACCGACAAATCTTAACGCATTCGACATTCAGTTCATCCACGTAGATACTTTTTGTTTTCCGCATTAGATGCTTCATGTGCAGCCTGAAGAGGCGGTCGAGTGAATCACAACGATGGATTTATGCTAACAAGTGCATCAAGTACTTCATAATATTGACATTAAGGACTATACCATGTCAATGGGTATGTGAGCTTCTAGAGTCACTGCATATAGTAAAACTTGAGCACCACAATGATAGGAACGAATGTATGGAGGTGATCTCCATAACGATCAACATGAGAGAGCATCGTATGCGCCAGCCATGTTCAGAAGATTGGGTTCCCTTATCGCTTCCATTCGTGGTCATGGTTAACAACTAGCCGAACTACTGGGAGAGATGTACAATGCTGCTAGATAGCATGGCATATTACATAGGCACGTAAGTCAAGAATCACCACCGTGAGTGGCCTGAGGTGCTTAAGTATATACCATGAACATGCCGTCTGATTATCTTTGAGGTCCTACATGCATATCCGACGACGACAAAACAAATCAACCGACATTCAATCGATATTGACAGTATAACTGCTAGGTATCATTTATACTCCAAGGAAACCGGCTCGGATTTGACAGGACAACAGATAAATCACAACAATTGCAGCCACAAGCAACGAGCAACGGCCACCTATTTAAGTGTCTAGCAACCATGGCTCCTCGAAGTATGTGTTCGACTTGCCAGCTCGATTTTGCCTTCATCACATGCTCCGGACGCTCAATATTGCAAGCATCGCCACCTGGTTGGAGATCGCAGTCTCTCGGTTTACAAGGTCCTGCTACCCTCCCACCTATATATATATACATGTGCATGTGTACATATGTATATGTGCGTCTGTGTGTATATACATTTGAAATGAAAATGGCCGGTTCGTCCTCCTCCACCTCCCTCGTTTCTGCGATGGCAAGAACCGTACAAGTGCCACTTTATCGGCCCAGCTTATCATCCTTGTCCTTGGCACTCAGCCTCTCGTCACTCTCCTCCGTCTCCTTCCCCTTTGCGAGGACAGTAACAGCAATTATAATGAAGTACCTATTCAAGATGCGGCCTAGAAGCTTGTGCTATGCCATATGGTTGATCATCTAAGCGACATGAGGTAGTCTTGTGATAACGAGGGCCGTGGCTAGTGAAGGCCAGAGACCAGGTGCTATCCAGATTGGCTCCCTGGATACCATATTATATCGGGATCCGGGCCTGTGAAGTACGACGTCAATGTCTTGGGCGGGGTCAATGCATCATGGAAAACATTATCTTACGAAGAGTCCCCTGGTTTTGGCTTGGTGTAACAGTATCATCCCCCTTGCGTACGCCTTCAGCTGCTATTCTACATACGCCCAACGGATGAGGTTCGACAAGTACATGAGTTCCATGGGCTACTATTAACTCAACGCTGCGTATTGTGTGGCCAAACGTATACCTTCTTTGGTCACGAACTAGAATCATGTCCATATTCATGATATCTGGATCATATCTTCCAACTTGATTTTCTCAACTCCTCTCAACAAGCAACTCAACTATTAATACTTTGAGTTTAAGATATAGGGTTCAGTTTATATACTGTAGCTATAAAATATGATTGAGCCAAGTAATACAGAGAAAATAGAAAAGGGATTCTACATGAAGTAATCTAGTAAACCTAAACTGCGAATAATGCCATAATGATGACTATCGTCCTACGGAGCTTCATGGATGCTCCGTGGCTTGATCCCCTCGAAGTCCTTCCATCAATTTGGGAGCGAGACCGGTTGCCTGCACTCTTGTCTTGTGCCTTTTGTTCGACTTCTGGCCTCTTTACCTGGTGTCACCCCCTTGCTCTCTCCAACAGCAGGTCTCAACTTGATCGTCTATGAGCAGACGATAGCCGACGGGTTTGACGGCACTGCTCAAACTAGGAACACCGGAGATTCTACAGCCAACTTTCCGGACGTGAATACGACTGCCGCCACTGTCAACGCAATCTCCGTGCATGCCTTCTTATGGTGTTCATCTGGGGTAATGCAAGCCTCATAGGAGACCAGCCACGGAAGAAGCATAGACTATCCCCTGTAGAAATATTGGAGGTACAATCATCACGCGGCAAAGTGCCTGTTTCAACGGTCAAGATGTGCAATCAAAAGGCCAAACCGGTCAGCGCCCTAAAGGAATCAGGAGGACGACAAATGGTACAGGTAGAGAGAAAGGTGTCATACTGGTGGCCCACAACGATGTAAATCACAACCACATACGCATGCGCAAGACGATGTTACTGTTGAAATACAGTTTCACAAGTTGAGCCTCTCGGACATTTCGCCCATATCTAAGCGGATGGTAGTGCTAGGCCATACCACAAAAAGGTTTAGGGTAGGCAAGACACGCAAGACCTCTACCCTAAGTAAGGAAAAACATTGAGGCAAGTTTAATCCCAGGAGGTCTTTAGATCAGTGTTTTAGTATATGGTCTTAAGTGCTAGGGGTTTATAATTCTCGACGGGTATCTCTTCTACTAGAGACAAGACGCATACTATGTACGAGTGACGAAATATATGTGGAACTCCCAACCTGAAGCGGACCCCTCCCTACGGACGTACGTTGGAACTGTTGGAACTACTCACATCATCGGCAATAACAAAGGGATATACAACATAACGCCACCGTCAAGTGACATAGTTCGTCTCACGCGTAAGTTGACGCAAGTTAGGTGGTCGGCATTGCTTTCCCAGTTTATGTTGCAACAAGCACGGCACTGGACATCATGAAGCATCTCATTGCTGTGGGGGCTTGTTACCTGGATACGATCCTCACGAACGTCACCTCTACTGCGTACGCATGGCATTTACTAACCCACCTCCAGTGTTCCTTTCTTTCCATCCGAAGACTCCAAGTTACGTGCCACCAGTCTCAATATCCGACGTGGAGGCAACTGTCCCAACTCTCTTCAGGTCTTAGAACAATTACTCTCCGAGCACGACACCCTCCAGCTACATCTAGTATCACCCCTTCCCGCTGCAACGTCGTCCGCAACACAGCGTGTTATATCGTCGTTCGGTGTACAGTCGAACATTGACTTCAGCCACTGCGTTTATCGCGAGGAGAGCACGGAGGCGGCGAGCAGTTACATCATGCGTAGCGAGGCATCGGGTAGTCGCACGCTTGTCAACTACAATGGCTTATTAGAGATGACCGAAGACGAGTTTGGCAACATCGCGCGAGGCTTCAACCCGGACCAGGAGACATGGTGGCACTTTGAGGTTGGATGCAGACTGGTATCCTCTGCCCAGTAATTCTAGGCTGATGATGGAACAACAGGGCCGAATCCCGGATACCATACAGAGCTGTATCCGTCTCCTGCGTAACGTACTACCAAAAGCGACAATCAGTGTCGAAATTGAGAAGCCTGGTAGAGAGGGCCTCTCTGAGCTGGCAGCAGAAGTGGATGTTGTCTTCTATTCGCGAAGTTGGGCTGAGGTGAGAATGGACTCATGGATATCGGCCGTTACAATTGTAGTGACCTAACAAGGGGGACAGAGTCGAGGATACAAGACTCCGGAACAATGCTTGAGAGCTGAAGGGCATCAAAAGGCGTACGTTTCATGGAAGGATATCAGGGTTCTGCTTTGACTGTATTGCCCTTGCTGACAAGAAGCTGCATAGGTCACTGGCACTGTGTACGTGGGGTGAAGATGGAGCAGCTGGGCTGTCTCGATCGACAGGCGAGAGTATTCACTGCCCTGCCCTGGATAAATCAGGGCGAGACATTTCCGTGCTCGAGTGAGTTGTCCCGCCCTGACAATGCCTAACACAGCAACAAACCTAGTACAAGCCGCGTAAAACTGCAGGACCTGACCACTGTTCGAGATATAGTGCCGTGGGAGCGGGGGACACTTTCATAGCCGGAATGCTGTACGGACTGATCTGTCACCCTGACGACTGGAGCATGGGGCAGAAGCTCGGTTTCGCCGTTCGACTGGCTACGCTCAAAGTGCAGCGGGAGGGGTTCGACGGACTCGGAAGAGACATGCTTGGAACGGAGATTGGAGGCGTCTGAATGAATACCTGATTACGGGTAGCCATGGGCATGACTGCCTGACGGTCTTATCCCGATAATACTATGGTTGCTTGACGACAATCCACACATTTAGCTCTTTAGGTAGACTTTCGGTGCAAGGGTCAGATGCCGGAATATCAAGGGGAGAAAGAGGGGGAAAATACTAAACCGCTCATGAGCGGAGAAAGAAATGGCAAACACAGCAAAGCAGCTCGGCGAACCATGAGTCGCCTATGGCTTACACCAGCTGATGATACTCTCAATTCGGGTGATGAGAGATTAAGTGGGAAGAAAAGAGACGGTTGAGCCTAGAACTGGGAGGGACAGATAGTGGAGGAGAGAAGTGGAAGGGGGACAATTAGAAACAGGGGAGAAAGGCGGTGAAAACGGGGAATAGAGAAACATTGGGTTGCTTTGATCTTCAACCGCCGTAGTGCATTGGTGAGTGCACGGATTGGTTAGTCAGGCATGGAGGCGTATGTACGGAGAGTAAGTAGTAGGTATCAACTTGGACCTGACCAGTCTCTCTCCTGCGTGTTGATGTGATGCAAGTGGATGGATGAGCGAGCAGGTGTCTTGTTGTCCTTGGCTAGGTGGTCAAGGAAGGGCAAGGATGATGCTACTCTGCCTGCAAGACACAACCTCTGAACCACGCGGATGCGCCGGGGCTACTGCATGGAGACCACGATTAGTCTAGAAGCACGTTGTTAGTCTTGGTGCTCGTGTGAAGAAACTGTCTAGATAGTGTGCAAGAACGAGATGGAAGTGAACATCCTTGAGTTATCCATCTACCAGCTGATCTACTCCGTATCAAGAGAGGTTGTAGCTCTGAAGCTCGTCATAGAAAAACATAAAAGTGTTGTAATGATTGCTGCATGCTCAAGTATAATTTCAAGAGTCGGTTCTAGAGAATCATGTCACAAGGGATGTTCAAATTCCCAAGCTTTGTTGAGTCGGTTGAGCGAAACCGATGGCTAGTAGCTAATGTAGGTGGCTAGTGGTGGGATACCGGAAAACCTTAGAGCTTAATCGTATGTGACATAAATACTCACACAGGCTTAGAATGATCCAGGACTAATTTAGCAGATCCTTCGACTGCTTATTTTTGCTCCCTCGCTGAATGAGGGGCCTGGAGAATTTGCACGCCCCAAGGGAGGCATGGTTGCAGCACAGACTATGTACGGTACCAGAGCCAGGGCGGCGGCCAACCGTCCGTCTGCAGCTAATGCTTACATAGTATGCACTAGGGAGGATTCTAAAGGGCAAGCGAGCTGCGAGCCGCTCGACAGCATCGTCATGCGGTGCAGAGCCTAAGGACCCAAAAGCCCCGAGACGCAGGCCCAAGACGATTTGCCGTAGTTGTTAGCTAAGTTATCTGGGCAGCTGGCTTGTTTAGCAATGGCACCAGGGACAGGGACAAGGTGTGAGACGTGTCAGATGAGACGGGAGGACACGACAGAATAGGGTGAAAGGAAACAGGAGCAAGTCTAATGTGCCCACGGTCAACGCAGCTTTGAGAGTACATAGTTAGGACAACTATTCTAATTGCAGCAACAAACCCACAACAGTTCACACTCCAAGTACCACTGTTATTGGTGGGGCATGTTTTCGACAATGAGTGAGAGCTGAGGACAATGATACGGGTGTGAGGAGAACAAGAATACACGACTCTAAAGAGGGTACTGTGTATCTAAACCAGTTCCTTGATGACGATACCAGACATCAGAAACCACCGGACAATATCGGAGTATGCACCATTGATACCAGAAAGTGAAGTCAACACGGAGTATGTCGTCGATTATTATCACAACAAAACCTATGGAAGGTGGAGGCACGTTCAAGTATACAGCTGGCATGTTGCTTGTTGGCTGGCTCTCATCAAAGTTTAAGGGGATATGATCCAAGGGCTGCACTATCAAATAGGATACGCGGCATGACAAAAAGCTTCAGATCCATCAAACCTCATCGAGACAAACGAGTGCGTGACCGTGACTGTGAGTGCGAGTGCTTGCTTTGCTTTGCGAATGACGCCGGCCCGCTTTGAGCATGTCTCAAAACCCCTGCACATTGATGAAAGCCAGAAACCCTCTCTGCCACAGCACTAGACAAGGGGTGAGCTGTGGATGTGAGTCTTCTCGCGCTGGAGGGTATATCCAATCTCATAGGCCCCCACACATGCCCATTCGCAGCCATAATGGGCAATTGAGTGGTGTTGTATTAGTTCTAGGGGGTGTCGCCCGAATAAGCCCGAGTGGTGCGGACTTGACGGTCAGAGAGGGCTTTGCAACTTTCCGTTGGCCTGGCTGAACTCTGCTCTGACCCGCCATGAGCATCCCCGATCGGTATGGAGCTCTCGGACGGAGGAGCGGGCGGCAGCTGGAGACGCCCCCGGCTTCCGGGCTCTATAGTTAGATGCTACAGACATACTGGTAGCACTACGCCGCAGGCGTTATAGACAAGCATGTACAAGTACGTACATGTTTGGGAGAATGCCATGCCGTGTTGGGGACTGGAGATCTTTTTGAGTCTCGGGTGGACAGTAAGTAATGTTGGGTTGAATAACCATTGAATTACTTTTCATCTATGATCGGCAATGAAGTAGAGTGCCTCTTGTCTGTTCTCAAGCATCTAAGGGATCATTCTGACAAGCTTCCTGCACAAACTGGTGAGTCTCGCCTTACTCGCTTACAGAACTGAGAGGCTGAGAAGCATGTATTCAAGAGAAAGTGGTGGTACTCTGCTCCGTATTGGTGACATGATTACGTGGTGGTGGTGGTCACGTCGATACATACAGTATTGAAACCGGTCTGGTAGTCAGGATTGAAGGAAACTGATGAAGGCTGCCTGATGCTGGTCTCTTTGAGTATCCAATGAAGACACCCAAATTCTAGTAGTAAAATACACCGAAATAAGTACATAACGGGCTTCTTCATGCATTCTCGGTACCATGGCTAGCATGGCTATCCAAGGTTGCGCCGCCAAGCTACCCACAAGACCCAAGACCAGGTCCGGCCAACTCGAGACTGATTGCCGTATCTTATGGCGTACCGCGAGCCATATCCCTTCCGCTCGACGGGTCGACCTCCGCAGGGCTCCACCACATGTGCATTTGGACTGTTGTAAGTGACTGGATGGCGGTTGTCGTACGTATATTGCTTGCTTCCTCATTACGGCCTGCATCAAATGTTCACTTAGGATCGCAGATGGGCGTCACAGCGTTCCAAACAATTCGTTGCAAACGTTTATACAGCAACGATACAACATTGGAGTAACGAGTCATAAACAGGCAATCAAGGTGATCAAGGTAATCAATCATTCTGCCCCCCTCTTAACAAAGACACCTGCATGATCACAAACTCGCATGCATGCCGCCGCCGGGGACTAATGCTGTGTGAGATGTTGCTCAGTCAAGGCGACCGAGGCGGGCTGTCAATGGCTCACTCTCAAGCGAATCCTTCTGGCAGCTGACTTACATGGCATGCATGCATGGATGGGAAAGTTGAACGATGGGTGTCCAGGAGGCCAAGGTACAGCGGTATGTTGCAGGTTCCTCATTGAATGCAAGGGCTCTTATTTAATCCTCTTGAGTCAATCAAGCCCGGGCCCTTCATTGGCTCGAAGCACACGAGATTGGACCTTGGAAGCGCAGTATTTATCCCCGGCACCAAACTGTACCAGTACGGATACGTACATAATTACAGATGATACCAAACAGGTCAGACTTTTGTGCAGGGGCTGGTCGTTTCTAGCCTCAGACTCTCCGTTCTCCTCCATTGAAGTTGTTTGTGGTAGTAGACCCATGGCAGCGGTTTTTAAAAGTGGCCCAAGGGCATGTTTATAGTCTAGCGTAAGGGCGGCGCACCCCAGTGTAAGGGTCTGATCTTAATATTGGAACCATCCTTCTTCAATGACTGTTGACGGTGGATTGATGCCAGTCCTGTCCAACATGTTGAGGGTTGTTGAAGCGTGGAACGCTCTGATGGATTGCGTGGTCTTATGAGCACATGCTCAAATACTGGATTATCGTTTCGGAAATGTACAGTAGGTCTTCAGTCCACGAGGACTGTACTGTACTGTACCTGTACTGTAAGCATGCAAACATCCAGTTGAATGTTACTCTGTACATATGTACACACATGCATACAGAGCAAGCAGAGAGTGTAAGGTCAGGCCAAGCATGTTGATCTTCGGCAACTGGACTGGCGAATTATTCTTTTTCGCTTCCTTGGCGATACCCAGGTGTCGTGCTAAGGAATCCCTGATGAACGGGCTTGAATCCTCCACTTGCACACCCTTGCTTTTTCCTTTTTTTTTTTTTTTTCCTTTTAAGCATCCACACTCTGTTTTGAGTTGGCATAGTGTGGCGGGCGTGGGTTGCCAGCTCTCAATGACAGGACGTCCTGTAAACGAGATCGCGTGGATCCGAAAGCCACAGGCAACTTTGATCAAATCTGAGAGTTTTGGTGATGAAAGCCAATCGTTACCCGTATATGTATATTCGATGGCTTGTTTTGGGGCTTGCCTCCCGCGACAATAGCCCACTCACTGTATGAAGAGTTGGGCAAGTGATATAAAGCTTGCGCTTTTTATACAGCTACCTATATAGTGCTGAAGAAGACTCAAAGTATTCTTGTTGCAATAAAGGTCTTCGGATCGAACGACATCTGACCCGAATACGTTACTGTATGTAGATGCATTGTGTCGAGGGGACCAGTGAGTCTTCTTGTCTGACATTGAATCCATTGTTGATCGTAGGAACAGTTAGCGTTCGGGCTACCGAATTAGCGACTCGGCTATGAAAGGGGATCCACTGGTGCAGATTTGCTGAGAGGTGTGAATTCGGCTATGGGGATGTATGTCTAGTACTATGGTAGCAAGAAAGTCAAACAAAGAAAAACAAAAATTCAGCCTCTCTCGTAGTACATTATTGGGTTAGTATGCAGGATCTTTGATTTGAGGCCGAACAGGGCAGATTGGTTTGGGCCCCATCCATCTGAGAA